CTACTACGAGAATGTTGCTCTTGCTGCAATAGGTGTTTGGACTACAATATCAAGATTCTTGTATGATATTCATCCAGAGTTTGTGAACTTGAAATACTTCTGTGCTGCTAGGAAAAGGGGTTACATATTAATCTGCCACTTGAGAATAGGCCAGCTCTCTCTCCTCCCCATACCTCCAAAGACAATATTCGAAGCATTCCTATGTTATGTAACAAGAGGTAATGGCCGTCATGGGACCTAAAGGCGTCAATTTAATTGCCTACGGACTTGTGTGTCTAGTGCAAAATTCTAAGAGAGGATTCGTGTTGCCCTTAGAAACAGTTCAGATCCACCTCCTCCAAGGATTCAAAAGTTTGTGTTGGAGGAGTGTAGGAAATGGAATCTCGCTTGGGTTGGCTTAAACAAGGTTGCTCCTCTAGAACCTGATGAGATGGAGCTTCTACTTGGCTTTCCAAAGGATCACACCAGAGGTGTCAGCAGGACAGAGAGACATTGATCACTAGGGAATTAATTTCAAGTTGATACTGTTGCTTACTATCTCTCAGTCCTCAACGATAGTTCCCACAAGGCATGAACACGATTATTTGACTCAGCCTGACACTTTGATTGAGAGTACTGATGTGCAGACACTGGCATCTGAGAGGATCGAGGCGTATATTAGAAGAATTGGTGACTTTGATCTTGTTATTGCGAGCAGCCCCTGCAACAACCTTGCTGGGAGCAACGTCACCACCGAGATGGTTTGGAGGGCGAACATTCTGCTCAATTCTACCATTATTTTAGGATCTTAGACTCTGTCAAGTCCATCATGTAGCGTTTGTAGTCTTTAGAATCTTTATTCTTATGGTGGGGCACCTTTGGTGTCCCAGCATAGCAGGTCACAAGCCCTGGTAAAGGAGGAGGGTTGTGTTACGCGTGGTGAGCTAATGTACAAACTTAGCCACTTTAATGGAGATGAAACCCAAAAGAATCTCGTTGGGGCGTAACTCTCTTAGCGACGCGCCATGTTGGAACCCGGGTATGGTGTTAAATGAGCAAGGGCCAGGTTGTCACCCCCGTGAAGCGCCGTGTCGTGATCTGGACACAGTGTCAAGTGAGCAAGGATCAGGTCATCGCATCCTTAGTGGCGCGCCACATCGGCGCCTGGGTGTGGTGCAAAATGAGCAAGGGTCTTCACACCTACCTCGACGGGTGCGAAGGGTAAGGAAGCTAGTCAAGCCAACTAGGATCCATTTAGGTGGCTAGAATCTAGGGTCCCTTACAGGTAAGTTAAGAGAGTTAATGGACATAGTGGTTAGGAGACGTGTAAATATCTTATGCGTCCAAGAGACTAAATGGAAGGGGCCGAAGGTGAAGAAGGTGGACAATACCGGCATCAAGCTCTGGTACACAGGGACAACTTCAAATAAAAATGGAGTAGGAGTTTTAATTGATAATAGCCTCAAGGATGGTGTGATGGAGGTGAGAAGGCAAGGGGATAGGATCATCTTAGTTAAACTTGTCATTAGTGATATGGTCTTAAACGTAATTAGTGCGTATGCCCCCCAAGTAGGCCATGATGAGAGTGCTAAGCGGCTTTTCTGGAAAGACTTAGATCGCTTGGTTAGAGCTGTCCTTAGTAGCTAGAAGCTCTTTATAGGAGATGATCTTAATGGCCATGTAGGTACATTAAGTGCAGGTTTCGAGGCGGTTCATGGGGGTTTCAGATATGGTAGTAGGAACCACGAGGGAGAGGAACTCTTAGACTTCGCCATAGCTTTTGATCTGATGATAGCTAACACTTTCTTCCGTAAGAGACAATCCCATTTAGTGACCTTTAGTAGCGGCCAGTACTCTAGTCAAATCGACTTTGTCCTTACAAGGAGGGATAAACAAACATGCGTGGACTGTAAGGTGATACCTGGAGAATGTGTGGTCGCTTAACACAAGCTGATGGTGGCTGACTTCCACTTTCTGGTGCAAGCTCGTGGGAACAAACAAGCTAGGGTTGCTAGAACGAAGTGGTGGAAATTAGAAGAGGGGGCATCAAAGGTCTTTAAGGAAAAAGTCATTGAAGATGGTCCTTCGAATGATGAAGGCGATGCAAACAACATGTGAGAGAAGATGAGAACATGCGTTCGGAAGGTTGCTTGAGAGGTGCTTAGAGTGATCAAAGGAAGCGGATGCGACTCGAAATACACTTGGTGGTGGAATGAAGATGTGCAAAAGGCTATTAAGAAAAAGGAGTGCTATAAGCGCTTGTATCATAATAGGTGTGCAAACAACATAGAGAAGTACAAGGTGGCAAAGAAGACTGCAAGGAACAACGCTGATATCAACAAACCAATTTGGTTTCATGCCTGAAAGGTCAACCACAGAAGCAATCTTCTTAATAAGACAGGTTATGGAGCGGTTTAGAGAGCAGAAGGACCTCCACTTGGTTTTCATTGACTTGGAGAAGGCTTATGACAAGATACCAAAAAATGTTATGTGGTGGTCTTTGGACAAACATAAAATCCCATCAAAGTACGTGACCCTCATCAAGGACATGTACAACAATGTTGTGACTAGTGTTCGAACAAACGATGGTAACACAGATTACTTCTCGATTAAAATTGGACTTCATCAAGGGTCAGTCTTAAGCCCGTATCTCTTTGCCTTGGTAATGGGTGAGGTTACCGGGAACATACAAGGGGATATCCCTTAGTGTATGTTGTTCGCTGATGATGTAGTGTTAGTGGACGAAAGCCAGACGGGAGTAAATAGGAAACTAGAGTTATGACGACAGACCCTTGAGTCTAAAGGTTTTAGATTAAGCAGAACTAAAACCGAATACATGAGATACGGCTTTGGTGGAGTTGTACAGGAGGAGGGAGATGTGAGTTTGGAAGGTCATGTAGTGCCTAAGAAGGATACATTTCGGTATTTGGGATCGATGAAACAGAGGGATGGAGATATTGATGCAAACGTTAGCCATAGAATCAAAGCAGTGTGGATCAAGTGGCGATAAGCTTCTGGCATTCTCTGTGACAAGAGGGTACCACAAAAGCTAAAAGGCAAGTTCTATAGAACGACGATTAGACCGGCTATGTTGTATGGAGCAGAATGTTGGCCTACAAAGATTCGACATGTTCAACAACTGAGTGTTGCAGAAATGCGTATGTTGTGATGGATTTGCGGTCACACAAGAATGGACCGAGTTCGGAACGATGATATACGTGATCGCCTAGAGGTAGCACCAATTGAAGAAAAGCTTGTCCAACATCGATTGAGGTGGTTTGGCCATATCCAAAGAAGACCTCCAGAGGCACCAGTGCATTGTGGAGTCCTAAGCTAAGCTAATAATATAAGGAGAGTTAGAGAAAAACCAAAATTAGCATGAGGAAGACAATAAAAAGAGATTTAAAAGCTTAAGATATACCTAGAGATCTATATTTGAATAGGAACACTTAGAAAGCAGCGATTAAAGTGCCTGAACTGTGACTTGAGGCTCTTGGTGGGTTTCAACTCTAGCCTACTCTAACTTGCTTGGAGTGAAAGGCTATGTTGTTGTTGTTGTGCAGACAATCACAAACAAAAGAATTTAAATCTAAAAGAAGTGCACCATGGCAGCTTGGTTTGATTTGGTTTTTCATAACCACAAGACGTGATGATGAGGTTAGTAAAGCAGTAAAGTCATCAAGAAACGAATCACAAATCAAGAGTACGATGCATCAACAGCAAGGCTATGCCTGAAGACTGATGTACAGTGTATTATTGATAAGAGAAAGAACTGGTAGTCAGTACTCAGTAGTCACGCCACATATCAAATGATATCATCTCTCATTTCTTTGAATTCAAAGTGCAGCCTCCGTAAAACAGAAACCTACAAAATATAGATCTGGTTCCTTTGACCTTCATCTAACAATCTTTCTCCTTGCTGAACACTTCTAACAGCTAACCAGGTCAGTTACTATCATCACACAATCTTGTTCTTCGCACTGCAGACATGGACCTGCATTAGGGGGGCAAAATCACCATGTAAGTCCACACGTAAACTCTTATTGACTCGATTGACCTGTGCTATTTGTGCAAGGAAACAAAAAATATGACAGCTATACAAACAAGACTAAACATCACATAACATGATGAACATAAAAATGCCTCTGTAGTTTCTAGGACTAGGACATTTGTAGTGCTAACACCAGTGCCACAGTGATCATCATCACCAGCCACCTTACTACCTTAGTTCTTTGGCTACCGTACATGTTGTTTATAAGCTTGAGGGCTTGATCTTACCCCCATGGCTCCAAAGCCTCCAATTATTCCCGTGCTTGCACTAACAATAATGTCCTGCCAGATTCAATTTTTCATGTATGCGACATTGTTCATAAAGTCTAGCTTTTTGGTGCAAGATAAAGAACAATGTAATCGTTACTGCCAGTTGCCTCAGCTCCTGCCCACCTCGGTCCTTGAAAATTCTACCAAACTATTAGCTAGAATCAGTGTGAGATTATATATTGCTTGATGGCAAACACCAGGTTCCAACCCATCACCAACCATAACTGATTGGTTCTGAATAGGCAATGTGGCAGTGAATCCTGCCTGCCATGGCTTCAAAACAGGGCAATGGGCCAGCCAGAGACTAGTTTCCTGGGACCTCACTAGACTATCTAGACATGATTTGATATTAAAACAAGCATGTTCGTCTGAAAGAGTAATATGAAATGCTGTGTCCTCATTGGCACATGTTAGCGAAAACAAACAACGAGCCACACTACGACGAAAAATGCATTAATATCCCATCCCCTTAACCAATCAAGGGCATTTTTAACTTGTTTTTCTTCCTTGTCTTTTGTGGCAGGTTTAGCTTGTTTTTTCAGTCTAAAAACTGGTGTTCAAGCCGTATACACATTATGGAAGAAGGAAAAAGTCTGGTATCTCCAATGCTAGTTATTCCATCTACAGCCTAGCAGGATCCACAAGACAAGGCTGACCACAAGATTTAGTACGGCAAAGAAGGAACAAAATACCATACCCCACTATGGCTTGGAATGAGCATCGGGTTCCGAGGAAGCGGCAGAGATCGTGGTGGGCTTGTTGCTGCGGAGGTCGTCTATGATGCCACCAAGCTCGCGCCGCGCGGACTCCCTTCCAAACATGAACCCATACCTGCAGCACAAGAGGCATGGCATGGGAGATCTAGAATGCTCCGAACCAACGAGAATCTTCAGGAGGGGAGATTGTGTGGTACCAGAAGGAGACGGCGGAGAAGACTCCCGCAGCTGCCACCGTCTGCAGCAGGGTCAGCTTCTTCGCCTGCATCGCCCGCTGAGAATCGGGAGAGATGGGAGTCGGGTCAGCCGCTAGCTGCGCGGTCCACAAATTCACACGGCTCTCTGCTCAGTAAGGTTGCATAGGAGATCCGAGATAGAAAGGCCGAGCGAGCTCACCTCCGTTTTGCTGTGCCACCGCGAGGTGTAGTTGGGGAAGACGAGGTGACCGAAGGCGGCGATGGTTGGGGAGGGAGAGGGACGGAGGATTGGAGGAAGGCTGCCGCCTGCCGGTGCCGGCACGAAACGATCTTCGCCGGCAAGGTAGCAGCAGACTGGGGAGGTGCAGGCGGCGGCTTGCGGAGTTGCAGTTCTAGGCCGAGCCCACGGCCCATGGGATAGAGACGCGACTAGGATCAATGGTTGGGCTGAGCCTTTGGGCTTTTTAATGGCCTTTTCATAGATCGGGGACTGGGGTGTTTGATCCAGGGACTAAAGTTGAGTAGATGTCACATCGGGTATTTTGATACTAATTAGAAAGACTAAATATGAGTCTAATTATGATTAATAGATTCGTCTCGTAAATTAGTCTCAATCTGTGCAACTAGTTTTATATTTAGTCTACGTTTAATACTCCAAATTAGTGTCAAACATCCGATGTGACAGTGATTAAATTTTAGTAGGTGGAACCAAACACCCCGTGCCCTGAGATGACATGACCCAACCAAAATATCTTGGTGGTCTTGGCTTCCGAGATATGGAACTGTTTAACCTAGCACTCATAGCGAAACAAGCATGGCGGATATTGCAGGATGGCAGTTCTTTGAGTGCGTGGGTCCTAAAAGCTATCTATTTCCCAGACAGAGAGTTCCTTGCAGCAGTGATTGGTTCGTCTCCTTCCCGTATTTGGTGGTCAATTGTTGAAGGACGGTATGTCCTTAAAGAGGGCCTGATACGGCGGATAGGCACAGGTGAATCAACTAATGTGTGGACAATGGATTGGCTGCCTACGTCAGGGTTAAGGAGGTCGGTGCCAAGCGACCGGGCGAACCTCCCTCAACTTGTTAGTGAACTCATTGATCCGACGACAGCAACTTGGGATCGTGAGAAGTTAATGGAGTTTTTTACACTGATTGATGTGGATGTGATCACGAGCATCCCTCTCAGCACAAGGCGTCAAGAAGATTTTTGGGCTTGGCACTTTGAAAAGCGTGGCATTTTCTCGGTTCGATCAGTATACAGGATGCTTGCACACCGTAAGTATCTGGCTGGGAATGTGGGTGCCTCAGACAGACTGGCCGCTGAGAAGAAGTGGTCTACATTGTGGGGAATAAAGGTTCCCTCCAAAGTGTGGGGGTATTAACCCCTATACCCTTACGGCTAGGCTTGGGTCAGCCCGGATCAGAGGCTCCGGTCCGTTAAAAGATGACGCGCGGCCCAGCCAACCTGTTCGGAGTCCCGCGCAAGGAGTCAAGACAGATTTGACGATCAAGCAAGATCCTGGTCGGTTAGAATAGGAATCCTTATCCGGCCCTATGGCAATTGTAATTGGCTAGGATTAGTTTTTAGATCTGTAACCCTGTCCCCCGGACTATATAAGGTGGGCAGGGGATCCCTCTAAAAAACATCTCTCATTGACATACAGCAATACAATCAGACGCAGGACGTAGGTATTATGCCTTCTTGGCGGCCGAACCTGGATAAAACCTCGTGTCTGTCTTGCATCACCATCTTGTTTGTGGCTTGCGCATCTGTCTGCCAACAATCTACTACCTTAGGCATACCCCTAGGTAGACTGTCGACCATATTTCGTCGACAGTGACGCGCCAGGTAGGGGGTGTGCATACTGCTCTCCAAGCGAATAAGATGGTCATCATCCCCGGCTCCATGGCTACACCGAACGGCCTCATGTTCACCGTCGGTCAGATCACCTGGACCACCGGCTCCGATGACTTCATCGCCATGATCATGGAGGAGGCACGAATTCAATCTGCGTCGACCCCTGCTTCACCTGCATCAGCTACGGCTCCGACCACGGTGGATACGGCTCCGACCACGGGGGATCTGGCTCCGACCACGGTGGGTCTAGCTCCGACCACGGTGGATCTGGCTCCGACCACGCCCGCATCGCCTTCAGCCACGCCGACAATCCATCGTCCGCTTCCCCGCTACAAAGGGAAGCAGATCGACAACACCGACTTGCTCGACTCCATCGATCGGGTCGGCACCAAACTCGCTGAAACCCTAGCTCTGGTAAGTTCAATTCAAAGTCAACCTAATGAGCAGGTAACCGCTCCCCATAACAGATCTACCCGACCAGCTCGGGCCAGTCGTCCAGCATGACTTGGTACAGATCTCGTGGTTATATATACTCCTGAAGGGCGCTCTGCTCGTCGCCGGCCAGCTTCTGCGACGGGTCTCCAGCTCTCCAAGTACAAAGCCTTGACGGGGAACTACCAGGCCCAGCCCTACGGCCTGCAAAAAAATGCTGCCTCCAACTACGCTTACAATATACAACGCTGCTCGGGTCTACGTTCTGTACTCCGACCTCGGCCAAAGCCACGCAACTTCGTCAACATGGTCCGAATTGAGGATTGTCAAGAAGGATCGATCCACACAGTTCAAGAGGGTGGCTCAAGCTTCTCGTCCGGCACTGCATCTAATGCCTCTGTTCGCACTGAGCTCCAGAATCACGACGATGAAGGCGTCGAATACGATCTAGATATCCCAGACCACGCCCCAGGATACCCGCGATTCCCGTCCTTCCCACCAAGGCGGGGAGGCTTGATCAACGTTGTCAGTAATGACGAACCACCGGCAGTCGGCGAGACAGAGCAAGAAAGGCTGGCACGTGAAGCACGCAATATTGATCGGTTTAATCACCGACAAATCGAAGCCGAGGCAGAAGAAGCACGACTCATAAGGGTCCAGCCATGTGACCTCAACAATGCCTTCGACAGGGTGGGGGATAAACAGGTCTTCAGGACTCCAAGCGCCAACGTGGCCGTTGCTATGGCGATAATGCAATGGCTACCCAATACCCCGGAAACCCAGGCAATTTGCGACGATATACAAGCTTACCTGACGGCTGCTATGGCCCCAACCGCAGAGATCATAAATCAAGCCCGGGCTCCATCCGTCTCAGTCGAGTTAAGCCACAGCCATCAGTACTCAAGAAAGCTGGAAGGCAAGTTTTATGTGTTTCCCTGTGGAGACTAGCCAGGTGCTCTCCCATCAAAGGACATTCTCCATCACAGGAACATGGCGGAAAATATTGCGTGCCAAATATGTGGAGCCGAGGACTCGTGGAAGCACTCGCTTCTCGAATGTAATATGGCGCGTTGTGTATGGGCTCTAGAGAAAGAAGAGATCACTGAACACCTTTGCCAAATTGAGGAACAAGATGCGAAGGGTTGGCTGGCCGCAGTGACAAAGTCCCTACGACATGAGGACCTAATTCAGCCATTCGGGGTGACTGTTACTCTATGGGCAATCTGGTATGCAAGGAGGAAATCTATGCATGAAAACATTTATCAAAGCCTGCTCTCGACACATCAGTTTGTTACCAATTTTGTGGCTGACCTTCAGTACGCAAAGCCACAAAGGAGGGTGTGGCCTGAAGTTCCGAGAAGTCCAGCTAGGTGGATCCCTCCGCCAGCAGGATTGATGAAGATCAATGTTGAGGCAGCCTTGGCCAAAAATTTAGGAGTCATTGCTGCGGCGGTTGTTGCTCGGGACACGGCTGGGCGATTCTTGGGGGCCACGGCTGTGGTTTGAGAGGGTCGCATGGAACCCGACACGGTGGAAGCAATAGCATGCAAAGAAGATTTTGCACTCGCCAGTGATTTGGTTCTGCGAGATTTTAGATTGGCGTGTGATAATGTTCGGGTTATCTGAAGCATCAAGGAAGGAAGCATGTAGCAGAACAGACCAATTTATAAGAGCACAAGTACAATGGCAGCCCGCAAGCGGTCGCAGTCATACTTGAGCCCATATAAACCCGGTAGTCCGTCGAGTACCACGAAGGCTCTCGATTAACCATCAACATACAACCAAGATCATACATGATTTAACATATATGTCATACGTTACATAAAGTTCACAAATACAGTTCATCCATCAAAGTACGAATTTAGCTTATTACAAACCACGTTCAGGTAAGATAGTAGCGGAAGCAAATTAAAAGTTTGAAACCAACATCTGCAACATTGTTTAAATATAGTACCAGCTCACGATCACACTTCCACAAAAGCATAAGGGAGGGATTAATAAGAGATGCCTGCCCAGGGCTTACTCCTCATCCATGGTGGGATAGAAGCAATTCTTACAATAGCCATGATAAACTGTACCATCTGCAACAATGGGAATAAAACCCTGAGTACGAGAAGGTACTCAACTAGACTTACTCGTCAAAAACCAAAAATAAAGTGACTTCAAGGATTATGCAAGGCTTTATAAGTGAAGCTAGCTTGACAACATTTTGCACAAAAAGCTTACCAAATCAAGTATACAGTTATAATTCGGTCATCAAGTTAATTATAGCTATTCATCTCTAGATTAGCAACTAGCATGTACCAAACATGTGGTATATCATTTAGTAGCATACAATAGTAACCATAGCCGGTGTAGTAATTCATGTTTATCATAACCATCATTCCATAATACAGTTACTACGATGTTGTGGCTAGCCAAGTTTATTACTGTCTGGGAGAGACGGCGATTTGAATCGATTTCAACCAGCTGGAAATTTATTCCTAACACAAACCTAGGCAGACCAGATCAACGGTCACCTTAGGTCATCTTTGGTATAACTCAGGTACACATTTCACAGGTTTGACCAGCGTCGCACAATCAGGGACAACCATCTGTTTGGACAATTAGGACTACCCTACCCTTGGGCTCATGTCTGGCTTCCCGCACATCCTTACTACTATCCAGAGTGCGCACTTTTATAGAATGGCACCCGGCCTGAGTTGAGTTACTCGGCTTCGCGGTCAGAACTAGTTATCCGGCCAGCTAAGTAAGAGACATACGTTCAATCTCGACAAAAGT